TCCACTGTATCATTTACTATAAAACAGACAACTCACGTCCACTGTATCATTTACTATAAAACAGACAACTCACCTCCACTGTATCATTTACTATAAAACAGACAACTCACGTCCACTGTATCACTTACTATAAAACAGACAACTCACCTCCAATGTATCATTTACTATAAAACAGACAACTCAACTCCACTGTATCATTTACTATGAAACAGACAACTCACGTCTGCTGCATCATTTACTATAAAACACACAACTCACGTCAACTGTATGATTTACTATAAACACACAACTCACGTCCACTGTATCATTAACTATCAACCAGACACCCCACGTCCACCGTATGATTTACTATAAATCACACAACTCACGTCCACAGTATGATTTACTATAAACACCCAACTCACGTCCACTATATCATTAACTATCAAACAGACAGCCCACGTCCACCGTATGATTTACTATAAAACTCACAACTCACGTCCGCTGTATCATTTACTATAAAACACAAAACTCAACTCCTATGAATGATTTACTATAAACACACAACTCACGATCACTGTATGATTTACCATAAAACAGACAACTCCCGTCCACTGTATCATTAACTATAAAACAGACAACTCACGTTCACTGTATGATTTACTATAAAACCGACAACTCACCTCCACTGTATCATTTACTATTAAACAGACAACTCACGTCCACTGTATCATTAACTATCAAACAGACAACCCACGTCCACCGTATGATTTACTATAAAACTCACAACTCACGTCCGCTGTATCATTTACTATAAAACACACAACTCACGTCCACTGTATGATTTACTATAAAACAGACAACTCACCTCCACTGTATCATTTACTATAAAACACAAAACTCAACTCCTATGTATGATTTACTATAAAACACACAACTCACGTCCACTGTATGATTTACCATAAAACAGACAACTCACCTCCACTGTATCATTTACTATAAAACACACAACTCACCTCCACTGTATCATTTACTATAAAACGCACAACTCACGTCCACTGTATCATTTACTATAAAACACACATCTCACCTCCACTGTATCATTTACTATAAACCAGACAAACCATGTCCACTTTTAAATAGACAACTCGTAAAGAAAGGGGATATTGTAAAGAGGTAAATTATTATATTTAGTAAGAGTACACTGGTAACGATATTCTTCTCTAAGCCCTTAATTTCATACTAACTTTTAACTGATGGGTTTCAACATAACATAATTGTTGGTTACACAATATATCACGCGCAGATAATTCTATTTGGTCTACAGAATTTTCAAAGCGAATTTATCGTAATTTTATTACGTTACGAGGACTGAAGAAGAAGAATTTCTTTCATTTTTTTCTCCATTTTATGGCTTATCCTAGAACGCATTATTCATCACGGCTTTATAAAACTTAACTTTTAACTATGTGACTTGTTGTCGTTAAAGACTGAAATTGTTAGTCTCTAAAAAGTATCATTTCATCTAAGCTATCACTTGAAAATATAAAGACATTTTAATGTTTTAAAGGGAAGGAAGAAACTAATCCGAACTAAATGGGAAGGATTTACAGTTTGTATTGCATGTTATAATCATTGTCGGTAGCATACGAAATAGTACCAATTGTCGATTTTTAGCTTTGATATATCAGAACAGAACCATAATCACATTGCACAGTTTCATCTGTCGCCGTTTCATAATATATATTTGAGCTTATATGAATCATGACAAATATTAGATACGGGTATTTTACATAAAAATGAGAGTACTAACAATGGGGCCTCGGTGACCGTGTCGTTAAGGCGTCTGACCATCTACGATCGCTTGTTCTCTACCAATGGGTCGCGGGTTCGAAGCCTTCGTGGGGCAGTCGCCAGGTACTGGCCTCAGGTCGGTGGTGTTTCTCCGGGAACTCCGGCTTTCCTCCAACATCAAAACCGGGCACGTCCTTAAATGACGGTAGCTGTTAATAGGACGTAAAACACAAACAAACCAAACCACACTATAAATGTCAGTGAAACAGAAAAAACGTATAACGGTTTCGATTGCTTCCCAGTATGCTAAATACACAATTTCAACTTTTGCTTCGTTGTTTCGTAATATTCGGATCTTTTTTTCAGAGTACTGATGAACGGCTGCAAATTGAATAAAACAAGAAATGAACACAAATATGGTTCTCGAATTTAAATACTATCGATTTAGAATGGTTTTGATTGAAAATAGATTGTTTAGGTTATGTTCATCTGTCCATGTTAATTTTGCATAATTTCAATTTTATTATCTCGTTGGTTTTCTACGACCTGACCTGATATTGATGATAATCCATACAATGAATTTTGTCCTTTTAAGTAAACTATACTATTTTTGGTTTTATATAATAAGATAGTATATGATATGATATAATATATCATATTGTACGTATATCAATCAAAAACAGAACGTAACTTATATGTGTATGGTTTATTTATCAAATTATGTCGTCAACTCCTTTATCATTAAAAACACATGCAAAAAGGACTAAACCTTAATACTGTAGTGTAACCTTGGTGCCCATTTGGCCTCTACACGCCATTTATGTGTGTTTTCAGGGCGTACCAAAGCCATGTTAACCAAACTTCAAATTAAATGTTTTCTGTAATTTGTTTAAATTCTGATCCTTTCGAAATGAAATATTACCTGATACCCTGTCATTACTTTCACGTCAACTGATAAAAAAAGTTAGGTATTCCAAGGGGAGTAATTTGTACACGACCCAATATAATTGTGGGTTTTTTTTCCTAAAAATTAAGTTATGTCTAATTGGATAGATTTTAAAACATTTTTTAACCGCTGTATTTCCTATTGAATTAATTAATATTGACAGAATGTGTTGGAATCTATTCGCTTTACCATTTGTAAATTTCAGCAAGTTATATTTCATCTGTATTCTTTTCTCGTTTATTTCATATTCAAATAATAACACTTCAATCATTTATTTACGAAGTAAAGGAAATTTGAAAAATGAATATTTTTAATTAGAATGCATTTTGTTTTTGTATTGTCATCCATGCGTTATTTTACTTTTTGTGTGTGTTTGTTTGTTAAATTGACTGTCCGTCCATATGCCTTATTATTAGATGAAACACATTTGTATTCGTCCTCATTAGTTGGATCATCACGTGATGGTCGATGATTTGTATTATTGACTCGGTCCTCCTATTTTAGAAACAGCATGTCAATATTTACTCTATGACGTCATTTCAATTGTATCGTCACAATGCAAAGTAAAGTAAATTTCTCCTGATAATTTTCATAAGTTCCATTTTATTTAATGACTTAAATATCATATAGCATGTAACAGTTATGGACATTTGTTTGGGTGAATATGGGGAGATATGGACCTAAAAAAAGATATTAACCTCGACGACTTTGTAGGGTAATATAAGCACATATTCACCTCACCAAAAGTCCATAAATGAGAATAACTATACCCGTATTTTCAATATATTACAGATGTTATCCGTCTATACGTCCCTGTCGGCCATTACCTCTGCCGTATTTCCAATACATTACAGAAAATATCTGTACATTCATCTCATTACTTCACATGTATTTCCAATATACTACACGAAAGTGTCCGTCCATATTCCATGTTAATTAACTCGTGTTTTTATTGCATTACAGAAAGTGTCCGTCCTGGTGTCTGTACTCACACTGACGGCCATCTCAATAGAGCGATACATGGCGATCTGTCACCCGCTGTCCTTCCGCGTATCCAAGTACAAGACTATCCTGGTTATCGGGATGGTATGGCTATTGTCCTTGTTAGTGGCCATACCAGACCTCATCTTCCTTACGCTTTTCCCGGACGACAAAATCCCGTCGGACATTGGAAACATTTGGCTGACATCATGCAGACCCTCTAATGAGCAGACAGAGTTAATCTATCAAATGTTCCTCATATTGGCCTACTACGTCCTTCCTCTCATCATCATGGGATTCACCTATACCCGGATAGCCGTATGTCTGTGGCAGAGTACACAGGCTGGGCCGGCAACCAACAGTAAGTACTGGCCTCAAACTACCCCCTGTCCCTTCAACCGAAAAACATTTTGTCTGTGGCAGAGGACGCAGGTCAAGTCAGCAAACAATAGTACGTTCTCACACCAAACTACCTCTCCCCTTCACCCGTAAAGCACAGTGTATGTGGCAAAGTACACAGGCCAGACCCGACAAAACAATAACTGCTGCCTTCAAATCGCACGTTCCATTTACCCTTACCAATTACACAGATACATAACTGTCAAAGTGCTTATTGTAGCAGATTAAAATTGTATCGTATAAATTCACTCTAAATAATTATTATAGTACACACTACAGAAAGGTATATGTATTGAACTTCAATTAGCGCAGTTATCATTTAACTTCAGATTTGGAGCGCGAAAAAGTGCTTAAATTAGCGTAACGCTAAACTAAAAACGCCTACAGTAAGACACTTATAAAGTCATTGACTGCTTCGCTTTTTTTTACATTCAATAGTCATAAATTCAGCGTAACATTCAACAACCTTATTGTCAATATTTAATAAAAGAGAGTTCTACTACTTTAAATGATCGTGACGATAAAATGTATGTTTGGAGAGGCTAACTAAACTGCTTTCCAGGTTCGAAATACCATGCACACCACTTGCTTGAATTGCATATTGTTTACAGGCAATTCTATCATCTAATTTGTTTCCGATTGATTCTATACGCGAACCCAGACATCATGAATGCTGTTTTGTGAACTTGTCATCACAACATCAGTATTGTTTCACAATCGCGATACATATGGATTATTTCAAAATATCTCAAAATTCAAATAATGTTAATCAAATATGTTAATCATAAAGCTTTGTTATGGGGTTGTTTAGCAAAACACCTTTTACATTGTACATAATGAACAGCAGCATTTCAATAACTAAGAAAGGTTTATTACTTATAACGTCAAAACAATTGTTTTATGTAAACATATTTCAATCTACATCTTATGAAAGAATTACATATTTACTCCCTCTAACATAAGTATCACCAGCATGACACTTTGTGTGTAATAAGTTTACGATTTGTGTGTCATAAGAAGATGATTTATGTTTGTCGTAAGATGATGCTGTGTAGTATGGTATCACACAGGGTTGACCTGAATACACAGTACGCATGGTTAGGCAATGTGAACACCATTTAACGAAGTAGCATACGCACTAGGTCAACCACAAAGGGTCAAACGGTACAGCCGATCGATTCTAAAATCAGAAGCATGTTAATTTTGCTAATTCACCAGAGATGAAACACAGCCTAGTGCTACAATGATGCTCTACTATCAACGTTACTGTCAACTTACATTGCCGTCAATGCGACAATGGGTTAATATATACAACATTACGGCATTAGTTTATCAAGTGCGTTAAATGGTAGTCGTGTGATAAATTAATTTCCCATCAAGCTGTACCCTTTAATGGGCATATCAATGGCGTTAAACGTTTACTCTGTGTATTCTTAACAATGTCGGATTTTTAGAATACACAATTCTCCAAGTATACGCTACATCTGTCATGAATTTAACTTCTTTGATTATTCGCTCAGGGAAAACAGTGTTTTGCAATGCAATCAGGTAATCGATTTGTTTAATTATCTTTTGCGCTTTTTCCTGTCACATTATTTGTATTTTAATATTGATGAACAAGCTAAATCTGTATTGATTAATTATGTTTTGCTGATATTCGTTTTAGATATTTACGCAATCATAACCAGCCTGCAGGTATTTTGCGGGCGAGAAGAAATTAATAAAGACAATTTGATCGTTTTATTACATTTCTCATATGCCAGTAGAACCTTAACATAGCAGCAAAGTGGTATTTGATACGAAAAACAATTCAAGAAGTTAGAAGATACAATAAGAAAAGGAAGAGCATTACCGCGAGAGACACCAAAACCAAAAGGAAAACAGCATAGTGAACTAAAGCGAGACCGAAACAAAAAGAAAAAAACATCGTTGTGAACTGAGGGGGGAGACACCAAAGCAAAAGAAGAACATTGTGATGGATTAAGTGGCACCAAACCAAGATGAGGAACACGATCGTGGAATAAGTAGGCAAACAAATGAAATAGACAACATTTATCCTGAGGACAGTTGGCATCAAAATAAAAGGAAAAAGGTCATCTTGAACAAACCAGACACCACAACAAAGGAAACGCTACATCATGAAGTGATATGACACCAAAATACAAGGGACAACATCGTCGTGATATAACGAGAAGAATAGCAGACACGCTTAACATTTCATTTACACAAATAACAATGACATGCATGTTATATTGTCAAAAGGCTGACATACATAATAAAATCCAGACCAGGTGCTTCACAGGTAAAAGCGTTTCGAGGTTTTAATCACAATGTCTTAAGTCAAACCCATAATCCATGGAAGTGTTTCAGTCACTATCTAAAACTCAATGAACAAATGTTAATGTTAGCCGCCGGTATAAACCGGTAGTTCGACAGTCTTGGTTCTGGCTAATAAATAGCATTAAAAGTCACATGTGATGATGGGTTCTATAATACGGTAAAAATGAACAACAAAATACAAATTTGATACAAAAAGGCAGCACATTGAACCTAAGCTGTCTACGTGTCGGAGATGGAGGCAATGTGTTGTTGATTATTTGTTTGTGCCCGACTCGTGTCAAATGCGAAGGACGTCTGAGTAAATCAAGTAATTTTCAACTCACTTTTTATTAATAGGATAGCATTGAATGAGACTGGACCAATACATCTCGTACACATGAATGCAAAATTCCCTTCTCTTTGTTCCCAAGTGATCGATGTATCCAAGTGTCAACGATCACTGTTCGTTGTCGTCAAACGTATTTTTCCAGTACATTCTTCCCTGTCTATTTCAACACTCCATGTCTTCTTTTGATTCTGAAGTTATCTAGGGAATCTATTTCATTTGGTGAAGCACTCTGTAATTGGGAGTCCTTGTATGTTACTTTCTTCTTTCTATTTTTTGTTTTTTCAAATTATATTTAAAGTTCATACAGTATTGTTCTTAAATCAACGGATATTTTGTTTCTCTGGTTCATGTGATCTAACTTTTGGCGATGCATGTCTATGGAAATCATTTAGATGTATACATTTGATATACTTTGATATTGTTCATACTTAAAACTTTTAAAATAAAAAAACAATGAAACTGGTCATGTGCATTTTATGTTTATTATCAAAATTAAGCATAAAAATGCAATATATATTTTTTATATATATCCGTCAAACGTGTTTCTAGACTGTAAATACGTTCGGATCGATTTTATTATGACTGTTTCTATATACGCTGTATACCATTTTCTGGCATTGGACATCACGAGTTCTGGTGTCTGCTTTATTGCTCCCGCGCCATGGACACCTGTTGGGGACACACCAGCTGTCCTTTACTAATGGCCTATCTGGCCTCCCTACCTGCCCTTCCAAGCATTCCTGCCAGGTACACTGCTTTCAATAGCCACTAATGCTTTATCTAAAGCTTGGTAAACAGTGGGAGAAGGAATTTCATGAACATAAATTGTTCTACAAGATTAACGAGGCTTTTATGTTACAATTAGTCATGTCTTCGTGAACGCAATCACTTTGTTACGGTATCGTAGGCTAGGATACCTCGACCGGAACTTCCACCAGACTCATACATCCCACATATATCTGCAACATTGACAAAGGAGGTACTAACTCAGGCGGAAAACAGATATTCTTAGACCTTCATTCGATGTAACAGGGGTCCAAATCTGCCTTAGAATGTTGCTGATTGATAACTCAAGACTACGTCTCCGCTGTAGACACATTAGTGCATAATTGGTTGTATTATATTTACGAACGAGGTTATTGCTTGAAGATATTATAAGTACTGATATAATGTGGTATAAGTAACGGTATGATAGGACGCTGGGATAGGACAGACTGTGGAAGATGATTACTTGTATCATCAGTAAGAGGATGACAAAACGTGGTGTTGAAAGTATTAGTTGGTACATTATTTTGTAATAGTGACTTTAAGATAGGATGCTAGGATAGAACGAAATATGGACAGTTTGAGTCGGTAACAGTAACGTAATAGGACGCTACGATAGGAGGAAATGTCGAAGGTATAAGTTGGTAACAGTAACGGCATGATAGGACGCTAGGATCGGACATATTGTGGAGGGGATTACTTAGTATCAGTAACGGAAAAATAAGACGAGGTGTTGAAGGTTTTAGTTGATGCATTATTATGTAACTTTATAATAGGATACAATACGGAATTATAGGACGCAATGTAGAAGGTATAGGTGTTTCAGAACCGGTATGATAGGACGCAATGTAGAAGATATAGGTGTATCAGAACCGGTATGATAGGACGCACTATAGAAGGTAAAGGTTATTTCAGGACCGTTAAGACAGCAGGACGCAATATTGGAGTTATATATGATTTCAGATGCGGAATGACAGGGCGCAATGTAGAAGGTATAGGCGTATCAAAACCGGTATGATAGGGCGCAATGTAGAAGGTCTGTGTGTATCAGAACCGGTATGATAAGGCGCAATGTAGAAGGTATAGGCGTATCAAAACCGGTATGATAGGGCGCAATGTAGAAGGTATATGTGTAGCAGAACCGGTATGATAGGACGTAATGTTGAAGATATAGGTGTATCAGAACCGGTATGAAAGGACGCACTAAAGAAGGTATAGGTTATTTCAGGACCGTAAAGACAGCAGGACGCAATATTGGAGTTATATGTGATTTCAGATGCGGAATGACAGGGCGCAATGTCGAAGGTATAGGTGTATCAGAAGCGGTATGATAGGGCGCAATGTAGAAGGTATATGTGTATCAGAACCGGTATGATAAGGAGCAATGTAGAAGGTATAGGTGTTTCAGAACCGGTATGATAGGACATAATGTAGAAGGGATAGGTGTATCAGATCCGGTATGATAGGGCGCAATGTAGAAGGTCTGTGTGTATCAGAACCGGTATGATAGGACATAATGTAGAAGGTAT